CCAAAATAAGAGATGATTATATAGTACCAAGATGTACCAAGTAGATCCAAATAGTACCAAAGGTGATCAACAACTGTGAGTTGCTCGAGTCGTGTTTCTTGTCCCATTGTTCGCACAATGTGTTAAGACTCAATAGTCACAGTCTCTCATTTGAACCCGTGTTCCTGGCAAAATGGGGACGGTTTATGGTTTTGGGATGTTTGAGGTTTACCACATTTGGTTCTGAAATGGCGAAGTGGACACGCCAGCGCAGGTGCCGTGTGGCATTTTTCATGATGATGGCCGCATTGCCGCCATTCTTGAGGTGAGATATGGGTGATCTAGGGCCAGTCATCGAAAGGAACCTGGTTGTCCAAGTATCATCATGTTCCATCACATTCCATCATCTTCCATCATGTTCCATCATGTTCCATCATGCCTCATCATGCATCATCATGTTCCATGAATCATTTTGAAATAGGTCAGACATATGTCTCATGTGACCTCTGTGAGGATGCCATGACCATCCGAAAGGCGGTGGTGCAGTGCCAAGAACTTTCGAAGTCTGGGAAGTTGCAGGACTTTTCTGATAGCTTGGTAAGCATGAAGAAATATCGTTGAAACACCGCTATGGCCGCTATGGATTAAATATGATTAAACTCTCAGCTAATGCCACATAGTTCTGCTTCTTATCTTATTGAGAATTCAATCCCCGTTGAAGGTTGGGGAGTTGATCAAAAGCCGGATCCCGATGAACCCCAGAAGTGGTTCTTATGGACGTTCATCTCAAAACAAATGGTATCATGGGTATTCAGCCCTTCCGTCCCCTCCACATACAGTACTTGGAATAGCATGGAATAACCCTTTATGAAATATCGCAGGCATTAGATTTGCTAACTTTTGGACCCAGTTTCCTTTGGCCCATTTTGGCTTGACAGATTCAGGAGGCGATTTGCCGGGTGCTGTTAAGAAGTTCATGGCTGTGAAGTAGTCATGATGAAAGAGATGTGACGAAATTGTTCATACTTTCTCCACTTAGAGCTACCCCTGAAAAGAAAGAAACGTGTTTCCAGGATGAGATAAATGATGTTACCACCTTATTTTCTGAGGTTTCCGACTTTTCTGTCTTTTTGGGGCTACAAAGAATCCCATTCGCTCCTTCGGTTTAACTAGCAGGACACCCATCAGTCCGGTCCTCAGCCGATGTTTACATAGAAAATGTTTACCCCAAAAGCTGAAGTTGGATGCACCGTAACAGTAGAAATCTATTAGAAATCATCCTTGTTCAGTAAATCGGAGCTTCTGACTTAGTCGTGCTAGTTCTACTAGTAGTTCTATGACGTGGTATGGGCATGGGTCAAGATAGTTATATGAATCCCCAAAAAGATTTCAAAAGATGTGTGAATCCATTCGTACCCCACGTTTGACTCATACTGTACCCAAATAAAGATCCTGAACAAGCTTGGTAGGCAAGGTGTACTAGATCCAAGAAACCCTGCGTTTTCCAAGAGCTGTATGCTAAGCAATAATCCACATGCAATGTCATAGAATGTGCTTGGTTTGAATATAATCCCAAAATTCAAAGCAATTCATGGTCATCACATGAAATGCCTTCACGGCATAAGGCTGATCCGCTGGATCAACACCAAGGAGGAACATGTGGGGCACCAAGGGGGTTGGTGTGTCCGGCCCTGCGAAGGAAAAATCACATGTCAGGTTTGGCCCAGAAATCTTCCCGAAAAGTTTGGCCTAGAAAAAAGGCATGAAATTATATTTTTGATACATGATTTAAATATATTTAAATTGATTTGATACGATTTGAGTATGATGGACACAGGCATTCCAGACCATTCCAGATCAATGTGGAACCTTGGTGCCTCGTGAGCAGATCTCTGAGGCATCGAAGTTGATGAATACCATCGCAGAGTGCGGGGGGGGTTTTTAGGCACAGAGGTAACTGGCAGTTGGGGATGGGTCAAAACCCTATCCCCCTGTAGTTCACATCAAAATAGCTGGGATTTATGGATGTGAATAATCCCCCTAAAAATGGTATGTATAGGTATTGATCCATAGCCATTTAATGTCATTTATAATTCAGGAGAAACATCATGATCAGCCAGTGGATTTTGGGATTTTTGTGACCTCGAGAGACTGGTCCAGAAGACAAAAGGGGGTCCAGCGGCCACCCTTTCTGCTCTCACACGCATCCACGCAAGACTTTCTTAAGGCTATCCCATGCCATGCGTGGTGGGCTATCAACTGTACGGTACATGTCATGTCGCTGTCTTTTGAGTCCATGCTTGCAATATACTATGTGCCTGAGAGTTTTTTGTCAGGAATCTACAGGTTCAGGCTTGGATCGTGGAAAGTTTAGAGAACCCTCTTCTGTTTGGCTGGTGTCAATGTTTCTTGAACTTCACCAAACGAGAATGTAAATATGCCAGCAGTATTTCTTCATTGGCACCTTATCCCACAGTGCAGGTACTTTTTGGCCCAGAAGGTGAAAAAGGAACAGCTGACGGAGCATGACTACCTACAGGTACCCGATCATCGATCATCCACATTGTGGGACAGGTGGACAGGTCATTTGTACTTGTAAGTAAACATAATCTATCTTAATAATGTAAACCATAGTAAACCCATCCCGTTTTTGGCAACTATGTTGACCCATCCCGAATGTGCGGAAAAAGGGTGATTTTTCTTGTAGGACAGTTCTCAGCCCCTGCTATGTGAGAGGCAGCAGTTAAGAAATGCATCATGCCAGAAACATCGGTGATTAAGACTAATTAAGCATAGAATCACCATCATCAATAATAATTTGGTTTGTAAGATCATCTGAAAAATGATCCATTAAATCATCCATAAACTCATCCATCAAATCATCCATCCTATTGGTGATCTCATGTTGACGTCATCGCCCACAGGTTCTTGCTTTACATCATGCTGTGTGGCACCTCAGCTCAGTGAAACGTGGTCATCTGAAAAATGCAGAAGCTCAAAATACAACGGGGGATCATCATTTGTCCCACTTAGATATCATATATATATAATATACACATGATTATATAAGTGAAACTGCCTGTAAAGTTGTGGTATACCGTCGTATACCGCATCCCCCAATTGTATCCAATTGTGAGACAGGCCCAGGTAAGTTCCGCTTTTTGCTGCAGGTGATGGTGGCAGCCATGAAGACCAAGCAATCTTCAGAGATTGGACCAGTTGTTGCCCCAGCTGGTTTGGTAAAACCCTGGCACCTGGATAGTACCCCAAAATATCTGGATTTATGGATGTGAACAAACCCCCACTCATATGGCAACTATAGGTTTTGAACCCATCCCCATTTGACAAGTCATTTTCCGGAAATCCGCGAATCTAGGGGAATCTAGGGGAATCTACAGGGGAGCCCCTTCAGCAAATGAACGTGAAACATTGAAACATCGCCAATTCGATTAGGTATGGGTGGTATAAAGATGTATAACGCATCTCAAATCGGAGGGTTATGGTAGTATAAACCATTTACTGGTTGGTTACATACTCAAATTCTAAAAAGATGTAGGAGATAAATCGACAAGCCTAGCAGATCGGTGGATCAAGACTGGTTTCATCTGTTTTAACAAAGAATAGATGGGGAAGTCACCAACCACAGGGGGATGCCACCAGCATTCCACAGGGCTGACCTCAGGTGGATGCGCTTGACAAGGCCATCCAGGCCAGAGAACATGGTGGAAGCAAGGCAGTGTTGCTGGTTTTTCATACTTTTTTTCGGGTGGATGATCTGGATGAACATCCAGAAGAATCCAGCTATTTTGATTTGAACAGAAGAGCACCAGATGAATCAATGGACCGCATTTTTGGAAATATATTCAGGCCTCTAAGAGCAACTGGTTCACTTTTTGTCGTTGCTTGCAAGTCTTGCAGAGCCGCACAGATGTCCTATGACAAACCTTGGGTGAATCCATAATTCTATTTGACTCAACCTCCAGCTCCTGCCTTAAAAAGAGGTAATTACTGTAAGTGCTAGCTTGTGGCAAGGCTCTGCGGCCGGTGTATGAGAAGAAATAGCTGAGAAGAGGCAAGTTCACTGACCAGATTGACCCTGAGGATTTCTCCGGCAGGTTGTACAAGATTAGTGGGAGATGCAGACAGAGAGAGAGAGAGAGGAAAAACACATTGAATTACTGTATGTACTTGAATTGCAAGGTAAGTCCTTACAAGCTTCTATACCTATACTGCCTATACTTGCAACTATTTGCACAACAGAAACGTGGAGTAAGCTTTTACTAGAACACAGAGAGTTGCGACAAGTGCACATGTGCCGGCCAACGCAACTTGAATGTGCGGAGGCGTCGCTTGCTAGCGCTCTTACTGTGCGCTAATTATTGATTGGATTAGACATAAAATGGGGAGCGGGTAGCGAGAGGTGCCACTGTTTGATGCTTGGCATTGTGGATGCTGAACAGATTTGAACAGCGTGCCCTTACCAGCCGGAGGTTTGAAATCAATCCTTACAGACGTTTCAAGTGTTTTCGAAGGGCATCAAAGGCTGGGAAATCCTTCGGTTCATAGAGAAGCATTACCATATTGCAGACGACTGCAACAGAGATGATGAAGCTGAATCCGACTCATTTTTTCAGTGTCAAAGCCATCAGCTGAAACTGGAGAAAAGCTATGAGTTGATGCGTGTTGAAGTGGTTTCAAAGCCTGTCATGTCTGTGAAACTGCTGGGATTCAAGCTAGAGGAGCGATGAGGAGCAGTTGAAGAAGCGTCAGCTGATCATTTTGTCCAAGTCTTGTGGAAGCGTGATGGACCCATGCAAGTACTCCTGAATAAATAATCAGAAACTAAAGATGCTCCAGGGCTAGAGGTTCACCTGGTAAAGTCTGCTAGGATGATTCCAGTTGACCTTTTAATACTTTACTTTTAATCTCTAATTTTTAATATCTAAGAAACAAATCTCTTTGAGAAAAGTTGCCGCACACACCCAGCAGTGATCAATGGTTCAGCAACGCAACCACAAACACGACACGCATCAGCCGCTTGAAGCCCGACGTGGCACGTCGCCCTGCGGGCGGGCCATGGCGTGCTGCCTCTGGGATGGCAATTGAACCAACAAAACATCAGGATGGGGTTCCAATATGCCAATATGCTATGAAAAACAAATATCCTATCTTCAATCTATCTAGAGAATAACATATCGCTGTATATGACAACATAGGCGAAGCTCAGGATATGATTTTAAACACACTGATTTTGCTAGCGAAACAGCGCGGTGTTGAAGGAGCACTGCAGTGCTCTTGCCTGTGTATTTCAGAATCTATCATCCCATAATTTCTGCAGAAGTCAATACGCGTTTATCATTGTGTATCCTTCGAAATTGAGAATATCTCAGTGAGTGGGTTTCCCTGCTACTGAATTGAGCATGGCCGTCCCATTGGTGGATGTAGCTTCAGTTTTCTTGGTTGAATAGGTTTTACGTCCTCAAAAGAAAAGACCCTGTATATCATGTATATAAATTTATATATTTCATGATGTATCATGTATATATCATCGAAAGGTCTTTAAAACCATCCCCTTAGATTTGAAGGAAATCGCCATCCTCTTTGTCGTGGTTCCATTGCCATAGTGCTCCATTTCTTGAGAAGCGTCTTCCTCTCCCGGGTCTCAGGCCGTCCTTCTCGCCCAGCGGAGGATGAGGGCTGGTGGTTTAGAGATGGGTACAGTACCGCCATATTATACAGTATATATATACATATATATATGTATATGTATATATATATTATATATATATATGTATGTGTATATATATATGTATATACCATCATACCTCAACGATATCCCTAGGATTTCCAGCACCAGGAGCCAGTTGGTTCCCAAAGAGCGCTTTCGGGCCGACGGCAGGCAGCTGGATCTGAGATGGAAATCGGAGATCCGTGACCGATTTTCTCCTTCAAGCCTTTGCTACAGTTGTTGTGGCCGAACATGCCTCCAAGATTTAGAATCTTATGTTATTTTATGATTATGTTTATCTCCAAGTGGTCGTTCCGAGTGATTCCATTGTAGAGTCATTCGCCCAGCCTCAGGTGCCTCGGGCGTTATGCCTCATTACGCTTTGTCACTTGGATGCACAGGTTTTCAGCTGGACATCTTTTGCTTGGGAATGATCATAAACACTTTCATACACAATCATACGCATGCAATAATAATATGATAACATATATATGTATATTATAATATATATATATATATGTATATTATATATATTATAATTATGTATATATATATACACGATCATATAATATATATAGTTATATAATATATACGTATGTATGATATTACTATATGATTATGTAGATATCGCAACCAAATGACAAGAAATGCTTCTGCGACCTACAATCATGTGCTGTCAACTAGTTGTCCCTGCGTCTCCCTGACATAGATACCTGCGCGGTATGGATAGTGAGCATAGACTTCTTGTCTTCGCTCTAGTGTCGAGAATCTCTACGCGGCTGCCTGTCAAATCTCGTTCATTGAACCAACAGGTAGTTGCATCCTCCTACGGAGAAGTGACTCCTGCTTTGCTACTAGGCCTGGAGGCATCTTTTGGCAAGTCACTAGAAGCTGAAAATCCATGGGCTTCCATGCTGCAAGGGCTGGTGCCACGGCCCGAGCCGCGACGGCCGCAACGACGCTTCGAGCGGCCACGCCAGTGACGGAGCTGAAATGCCCTGGTTTTTGTTTGTTTTTTGGTGTCCTACTGTAGATCATATAGATTGGGATTCAACCAGCAAATATGAGGATTGCATCAGCAATGACTGGGGATTCAAGATGATTTAACCAAGAGCACATTGGATTTTGATCAGGAATCGATAATATCTGGCAAAAATTGGGATTTTGAAAATTTGACCGGCAAATGGCAGCAATACCTAAATGGAGTTTGCCCAAGCTGTGTTTGTTCAGGAATTGTAAACTGGCTCCAATTTCTGGCTCTTAAACTATGGGACCAACTGAGTTATCGGATCTTCAGACAAACCAAACATTTGGAGTGTTTCTGGGAGTCATCATTTAACATCTGGTGAAATAGGGAAGGACGACACCATGAAATCTGACCTGATTCAGCATCAGACATAGATTTTTGGCAAATGATATTGATATGACAATGGCTGGCATGGTATTTGTAACCTAGTTGCACATGTTGCAACTACGCACAGCTCAGCAACCTAGGAGAAGCCAGCAGTTCAGCGGCTTAGTAAATGTGTGTGGAAAAGAGAATCGACACTGATATACAGAGGCAGTAAACTTGACATTATGTTGTTGTTTTTATTTTTATTACGTATTTTTTTGGAGCATGCAGTATGGGCAAAGATGTTTAGTACTCAATCTAGGCTTTCTTGAATCATGTGGTCGGCACCTGTACACTATAGCTTTAGATATCACGTGGACCCACCATCCAACATGTTAATATACATAGAGTTGTTGTGATTCCTTCGTAATCAATAAGTTTCCACTTTTTGGTTTCTCCTTCGGCCTTTCTCATTAGAAATCTCTGCAGCTTCACATTGACATGTTCCACATGTTGAACAACCGAACCAGTTCATTTGGCAAAACTAGATATATTATTTTATTATATAATGCGACGAAACTCTGCTTAAGTTCTTATGGGGTTCCTGCAGATTTTGGAAATTCATGGGCGAGGCATCGATCACAATCTCCCAGAAGATGAGTGAGTTGGATGAGCGTGTGAAAGCCGTCGAGAAGCCGGAGGAGGAAATGTACTGGAGGCTCTCTGGAAGAATTTTTTGCCGGGCTGATAGTTAGCTGATGGTTAGCAGGGAGAAGGGGTCAGGGATCTCAGGGTAAGATAACTATTGTATGCAATAACTATTGGGTAATAGTAATATCTACAAATATTGTATACGATGGGAAATGGGGGTGAGATATCCAGCTCAGGGAAGGCACAGGGTTCGGCTCAGGGTGTTGGCTTACTGCACTGCATGCAGAACACCTTGGTGCAAATTGCCTTGGCGAAAACATACCTGCCGGGGAGGCCCAGTTGGCGATCGCACAGAAGCATCATGTGACACATATGACGTGACTGCAACGAAGGTGAAAGCTTGCCACTGGCAACAAAACATATCATATATTTATATATATATGTACATATAGATACATATGTTGTGTGATGTAGTGTGTATTTATATAATTTTATATATACTGGTACGTACCATATATATCTACAGTTGGAAACTGTTTTTTTCTATCCCTCTGAGGCCTCAAGGGTGACGCCAAGGCTGAAGGAACTCGGGGCACGCGTTGTGTGCGGGGCCTCAGCGTCCTGGTCCAGCCATGGGAATTTGAGTTTCCTTATTAGGAATGATGAAGAATGATTAAGCATGATTAAGAAGTATTGAGGATGATATGATGATGAAGGATGATTATGAATGATGGAGAATCATTAAGCTGATTGAGGTGCGTGCATCATCATGGATAACAGACGATGAAGTATACATGCATGACATGTATAATATAGTGTATTAGAGTTTAGCTTTCAGCGATTCTTCACGTCATATCATGCCACCAAACCACGAGTTCATGTGGCCATCATGTGACCATAAGTTGCATTGATTTTCGGGCTAGAGGCAAATGAAGACATGAATGTGCCTGGTGTGTTGTATGCCTGGAAGATATAGATGACAATACATATATAGACAAAATATACATGTACATATACATAGATATCTCTAGTGACAAATACATACATATGATTATGATTGATTGTATATATATATACATATATATTTCGCTACAAGATTTGCACCGCACAAATTCGTCAGCTCACCTGGAGGATTTGACAAATGACAACTCCACGAAACTAATGTAGCTATGGAAATCTATGGGTTTCTATAGGAAACGATCTACAAATGGTGGATTTCCATGTCTACATTAGGGTAATGATACACATTGCATGTTTATATAGTTTTTTATGGATATGGAATTATATGTGCCTGTCTAAAAATGGGGTATACAAAAATGTGATACCTCCCTATTTTCGGACAAGCCCATCTTATATTGTTGGCTAAATATCCAGAATATGACAATATATATATACATCCTCATTATGTTAGTTGAATCCCGACGTTTATTGGTTAAACAATACACTATGTATATCTATGTATAATTAATATGATAGAATACATGCAAGACATATAATTATACCCCATATATATATAATGTGATACATACTATTATATAATATACGCATAACCCCCATTTATATATAATGATAATAATGACAATGTAATATTGTAGTATCGTCCAGCTTATATTTGCATACCCAAGAGTTGACCACAGGATATGTCCTGGGAAGCGTATACTGACATCCTGACGCAACTTGCTGGCACAAGAAATGGCTTTGACGCATGGAAAACCACGGGTCCCGCTTGCAATAGATGGGACCAGCAGAATTAACATAGAGTTGATACCTTTGTTATTTCTATTGCAACAGCTGTCATACACAAACGGAATACGATTGGTATTAGCAAATAACTTTTTCATGACACACTTGTATTAATAATTTCCGTAATGTTTGCTTTTTAACCATGAAGAAGAGCTGGAAACCCATTTGCGTCAGTTTCGCTGCGATTGAGAGCCATGTCAAAAAAGGTGTGTAACACTGCATTGTTTTTTGGGGGGAGGGTGAGTCACAACCTGGCTGTTGTTTCGGCCAAAAAAGATTGAAACACTACTAATTACTAATCAGTTCAAACCGTGTTGTTTATCTTCATTTCTGTATACAAACATTTCTGTGGACTTGAATATCCCCTATGTTGGTGTTTTGGTGGCTCTCGTCTTTGTTGTTGATGCTCATGGGTTACAAACCCATTCTTGTGGCTTGACCGTCCACGTGTCCTCTGTTTTTAGGGGTTGGTTAAACGCGGGCAAACAACCAAATGTATCAAAATGTGACAGTGAACCTATTCTAGGATGAATCACACCGTGTCTCTGTTTCAGAAGACAGAGAGAGTCTTTGAAGTTGGCGTTGGCCGATGTTGGCCGAAGACAACGAACAACCTGACTGCTTGAATCATCCGTCATAGAGTGGACGAGTTTCGCGAATCTTTCACACAGTTCCAAGGAAGTCCGTGCCGTTGATCTCCCACAAAAAGGCCTTGGCGAGTCGGCGCTGATGCGGGACGCATCCATGGATTTGGAAATTTTAACATAGATGTGTATAATAGACATAATGAATATAGAATTATGTATGTATGCATATATATATATATAATATAATTATATATAGGTATGTACATGTTGCGCAACAGTACAGCCCGGCACCCCCCCAACCCCCGGTGATGGTCATGGTCCAGCAAGTGGCTAATACATATCGGCTGTATGCAGGAGACTCTATGCATCGGGAGCCCCAAAAACGGCAATTTTCATAGGGGACATGATGATATAAGGATGTTTGTGTGCCCCATTTCAGGCACACCCATGTCATCTATTTATGGAATATCAACTATAATAGCGATATATCCTATAATTCACATTTGTCTTAAGAATCTTCCTATGGTAAAATCAATCTTCCGATGATAAGGCTATGATTCTTATCTCCAATAGTTTTCCACCATCCATCCTTGGAACCATCCTATATCATAGAGAAAGTTGGTGAATAAACATGTGAATTTCCATCTTTTCCAATGGTTTCTACCCTCTGGTAATTTAACATAACTATGGAAAATCACCATTTTTAATGGGAAAATCCACTATAAATGGCCATTTTCAATAGCTATGTTAGTTTACCAGAGGGTATCACCTTTCTAATATAAGTTCCATCCTTTCCGGAGTTTTTGAGGCCCAGATCCTGACCAGGGAGTGCTGGCGGCAAGGGGATGCTGACCCCAGCGGCATTGGGGTAGTCACCGAGCCTCGGCAGAAAGGAATGGGCAGAAAGCTGGCGACATCATGAATTGGGTTTATATTTTCGATGATTTTAGATGGTTTTGTATAGGGGTTTATATATGTTTATATGGGTTTATAGTTTATGAATTTGGTGTACTAATTTTCTGGAAATTGTTGGATGAACAAATGGTACACACTGGATTTAAGCGCTGCAATCCATGGGAATCTCAGCCGAGGTGTGTATCGTGCCCAAGGTCGCAGCCGAGGAGTACGGCGCAAGCCTGGGGCGAAATGGACGCTGGGAAGATGACGGATTTGGGACCTCCCAAATCAATAGAAGTCGGGTTTGAATGGTGATAAATCATGATAAATCATGATAAATCATGATGTGAATTATTCCAAGCGGTGGTAGATTTTTTGGCAAGATCTAGGGATCTGAAGGGGTGAATTTTAATGGAATATTGTGGGATCTATAAGCAACAAGATATAGCAAGATGATACGGCGATACCATGCGATACCTGCGTGGATTTGCCGCCAAATGAAATGAACGGCCGACTATGACTATGGCTGACTATGCATGAGCATGGCTGATTGGAAAAATAAGCAAAATTGGAACATGGTTTTCTGAAGCATGGGATTGGAGGTGCGGAGTCCTTGGGGCATATGGACCCACAGTTTATCGGTCAGACTTGAGAATTTAAACCATCCCAAAATGATGTTTTATCCCTACCTGGGATGTTGGCTCAAGTGACCCGTTTTGCCGACAGGTGAAACCGCTGCGTCCAAAATAATCTAATCTGTGCATTCTATTAGTTATTTTGTGTCCAAGAAACAACTCACCATTGGTTAATATACTTTAATTGTATTACACAACATAGTAGCCAAAATAATTGCATTCTACTGTTGTTATAGTATACTGCATGAGTTGTGAGATTATAGATACGTATGATACGGACATGTAAATTTTGGATACATAATATTTTGAAGAGGGAAAGCCAACATGTCCAACGTCTGAATTCATCCAAATGACGTTTACAGTGCTCATTCTTGCGTAGCGATCAAATTATATAATTCCAAAGTTCCAATTTTGGACATGGATTTCCAACCTGATGCAAGTCTGGGAGTTTGTAGTCTTTGATTGGCAGTGCCGTTGTTAAATTGAATGATTCGATGTTTCACCACCCTCTGTCATTTCGCATGTTGTTTTGGCAAATTAAACAGAAGTCGTGTAGTCAGTGACAGTGAGTCAAGTTTTGCCAGATTTCTTTAAACTATCATCCGCACTGCAGCATTTTTTTAAGTCAACTAGTGTTGTTTCTTTCCGCATTGTAGCCGTGTAACTTGTATTCCCCTTTTGGATCTCTGAGGAATTCAAGCCAGCGTCGTGCCTGACAGCTTCTACAAGGGCCCGAAGAATGACACGTGATGACGGCTATGGCCACTCGGCATCAAGCTTCATATTGAACAAAGGGTGGCGTGGTGAGCTTGAACAAAATCCGTAGCCCCAGGCATAACGAAGAACATTAGGCAAAGAATGCAAAATATATTTGAATATATAAATATAATAATAAGAATAATAATAATATCAAAAACAATGATAATATATTATATAAATTGGATATATTTAATCGTATCCTTTTAATACTCATCCTCATTTTCCTGCATTTCCGTCTCATTATCATGTTCTATTTCCTCATCCCTGGCTCCCATACATTTCATTTTAATCGTATCCTTTTAATACTAATCCTCAATTTTCCTTCATTTCCGTCTCATTATCCTGTTCTATTTCCTCACCCCTGGCTCCCATATATTTCATTAATTATTTTCATTCATTTTCATACCACAAGAATTATATATTTATTTCCAAGAATGTATATGTGGGTACACTATATGCCTCGGGTACTGATCTACGAGAGATCCTAAAAAATGTTTTAAAAAATAGTTGTATTAAAAAAAACATATATAATAATTTATTAGATACCAGTAGTACCGCACAAGGCGGTGGCGGAAATTTTAAAAATAGGAAACATATAGGAGAGATTGGTTGTTGTGAATTAAGGATGGCAGAGCGAATCCACTGATGGACCGAAAGGTGCTTCAGGTCTCCTCTTTTTCTCTCTCTTTCTCTGATTATTTACCTACCTACCTATCTATCTTCTATGTATCTATCTATCTATCTATCGATCTATCTATATTTCTCTCTCTCTTTCTTTCATCTAATTACCTATCTATCTATCTGTCTATCTATCTATCTATCTACCTATCTATCTCTCTCTCTCTCTCCCTTTCATCTGTCTATCTGTCTGCAGCACTGCTGTGCTGGCGCCCATTTTTGCTGAGACTTGGCATCATGAGCTTAAGGTGGCAACACGTTGGTGCTTCGCACATCGTACTACAAAATACTGAAAATGCCAAAGGCACCTCACCATACAGCAGCCGGCAGTTTCTTTTTGATTTTCATCAATGTTGGATATAGATTAGAGTACGCATGTGCACAGCATACTATACTGCCACACACACAGACATACAGATATACAGACATACAGACATCCAGACATACAGACATACAGACATACAGACATACAGACATACAGACATACAGGCATACATACAGACATACAGACATACACACATACAGACATACACACATACAGACATACATGCATACAGACATCCATCCATGCATCCATGCATCCATACATCCATACATCCATACATGCATGCATGCATACATACATACATACAGATACACACACACATATATACATACATACATGGATGCATGCATGCATGCATGCATACATGCAT